TGCCCGAGACCGGCACCCCGCCGCTGGGACGGGGGGGAGCTCCTGTGGCCGGGCCGGCCGGGCCCAGCCTGTGGCCGGGCCGTGCTGCCGGTGAGGTGAAGTAAAGTGCGTGCGCGGCCGGCCGCAGGCTTCAGGGGAGGGTTTTGCAGGTTTACAAGGAAAAGCTCCAGCTTTGCTGAAGGCGTGCGGGAGCGGGGGGCGCCGGCTGTATTTCTGACCAGGCAGGTGCCGCTGCAGCGGCAGGGGCAGAAGCTGTTCGGGCCGGGGCGAATCCCCCGCCCTTGTGCTGAACAGCCCGCTCGGGGTGAGGGTCTGTGCGGCTTGGGAGTCTGGGGGCTTTCGTGGTGTGATCGGGTTGTTGATCTTTGCTGTTTGCTCATGCCCTCATGAGTAGGTTTCAAGGGATGCCTTTTACTTTTTTGGCCTGTTTGTTCAAAAATCTAACAGAGCTTATGTAGTCAGCCTGGATAATAACACTGAATGAGCTTTGGAGAGCACTGACACCAGAGAGGCAAACAGCTGGCCGGTTCATTGGCACTGCCCTTCGGTGACAGCAGGGTTGTGCCTTTTAGTAAATGCCCAAGGTCTCTTCCCCAGCCTTTGCAAAATCCACAGAATTTAAAGGTGTGAACTAGCTTTCAAATACAGTATCGGAAAAAAAGAAACCCCAAACTCCATGTTTTAAAATATAATTCCTTGTTCTGAAATCTTTAGGATTCATATTTTCCTTGCCCCTGCTTTTCATTTTGCTGGAACAACAAAACCAAGGCACATAGGGTTTCTTTTTTAAGGAAGGATTGGTATCTTCTAGTTGAGTGACAGCAAAACCTGGCGACTCCAGAACAGCATAGTGTACAGTGACAGTCACTGTAAAATCATAGGAACTGATGACACTGACTACGTTAAATTGCCATCAGTACATGTTCTCAGGCACAGTAGGAACTGTTGTACCACATTCCTGTACTACCTGCCCACCAACTGGTGCGCAAACTGCTGTGCTAAAATGTGGATCTGCCATTAAATGCTTTCAGAGGGAGGTGAGCCTGGTCAGATGTGCTTAGGCCAGAGCACACAGACAAAGTAGGCATAGCCACTACTGAGTCCATTTAAAAAATAATCCACGGAATAGCTGGCTTATCTTTTTGCATGTTGTGGAATCATCCAAAGATCACAGTCAAGTTCTGTTCACTGTGTAGCCAGTCCTAATGCCTCTGCCCTGAAGGTCGTAGTTTTTTCTCCATTTAGATTCCCTTTCAGAAGTACTGCACTGTAGGTGAAGTTCAGTTACGAGTTAATTAGTGAACCCTGTTCTGAGCATGTCAGTATAGACAGGAGGTTTTGTTCTTACTACTTGCATGAAGAAAGATTGGCCAAGTTATTTACCTTTGGGTGATACACTAAACAGGAATCTCTGCTGCCTGTTTCTTATAGCCATTCAAAAATGGTGTTAGAAGACCTTGCACTAAGTTGGATTTACTGGGTTAGATTTCCTTTGTCTCTCATATTGTGTGGTTACTTGGCTACTTTGTTTATACAAGATCTTTAGAAAAGTATGTCGTTCATACTGAAGATGCCATGAGCACATCTGTAAGTTAGTGTTCTATATTTTGTAACACAAGTGTTCTACATTTGACTGCTTGTTTATATTTGAAATCTACAAGAGTATTAAAAATGGCGAACAATTTAATTGAAATATTGGCATTCATCTTATTCTTACGTATACTTCAAGAATCTCCAAATATGACAATAGTGTCCACAATGTCACAAACTATTTCCCAAATATCGAGCAGTACTCCATTCTGAAAAGCATACTATCTGAAGAGGCTGTTGCAGATACAGAGTGGAGAAAAGACCAATGAAAATGATTAAAAGTGAGATTGATAGACACACAGAACTTCCTGGTCAAATAAGTACACTTAAACACACTTCCTCCTTGTCATCTCTTAATATTTCTTGAACTTTACATAAGCAAGCAGTTCAGTGAGTAATGGAGAGAATATTTATCCTAGATTCTCTGACAGAAGTAGCTCCTTAGGCACTTGCTGGAATTGCTTTGGCTTTCCAGATTGTTTCATGCTAATTATGGTGTGTTAATACAGTGTGGTTGATCTTTGCTGACCTCCACCTCTAACCTCCAACACCACTGATTCCTTTGGGCCAATGCTCATCTGACCCTGAGAGATTCAGGGAGCCCAAAAGGTAGAAATCTAACCTTATAACCAAAAAATTTAAAGTTTTTTTATGGCTTTATGCTCAAAACCGTGTCACTGTGTAGTCAGATTAGCATTAGTGCCAGTGCAGAGGGAAACAGACAAATGCCTTTGTTGTGGTACAGCACAAGATAGAGGGGAACAGACACTGCAAGAAGTACAGATGGATAAATAGATAAGGGTGGAGTTACATAAACAATTACCAGTTATGGTGACTTCAGTCATGCTTCATCATATTTGGTATTTTTATAAAAGATGAAGCTCCAAGCATTATACAAAGAGGTGAGAATCTCAGCATTACCTTTATAACCCCTGTATTTGAGAAGCGAACTCTAGAGATCTGAGCTAGAAGCTAAGCTAACAGAAAGAAGAAAACAAGTATTCTCCCCTATTTTGTTTTAAAACCAAACATGATTTTGAGCTGGTTTTTTTTCAGTTAATAGTTGTTTGTGTGGCAAGAATAGATTACAAGGAATTCAGATTTAGATAGATTCATTGGGAAATTTATTTACAGAAGGATCAAATGAGGAGAGAAGGTGCTTTTTAAAAGCACTAGCTAATGTAATTTAAAATGTGCTTAGTCTGGAAATAGATGAACGTAGTTACAATTTCGTATGTGGGGTATTATTTCAGAAACTATATTAAGCATTCACTGAGAAGTATAGGATGAATGTGTTTTAGAAACAAGGGGTAGGATTCAAGTGCCTACACATCAAGTGATGTTTCATACGCCTTTGGATATTGTTCTCGTCTTCCAGCTTCTGCTATGGAAGGCGACAAGTCTGCCACAGGTCCTGTGTCCTAGGTCCTAGTAAATCTAGGGTTTATAAAATATCACTACATTACTATGTTTAGGCACTGAGTCACTCCTAAACTGTGTTTACTACTTTTTGTTCTCTTTGACCCTGTGTAGTAGTTGTTTGTTCACATATGTGCTGTGTCTGTTACCCGATTAGGCAACGAAAACATTTTAAAGAGGAGAACAATGCATAATCAGTACTGTTGTTTAGTACGACATTTTGTATTAATATTTGTCAACATGAAAAAATACCAAATTCATAATAATTTCACAGTAATTTGAATGCTGCCAAATAATGAATGATTTGATCTTATGAACTGTAGCAAACCCAAAGCACTGTTCATTTACACAAAGATAAGATATTTGAACAGCACCGATTGGATACTGAGAGAATGGATTGCAGGCTAGCATGGAGTCTAAGTTGGTAAATGCTCATTGCTGATCATTAAATTCTGTCATTAGTTTGCAATTATTTTTAACTTGTCACAAACACAGATCTCTACAGTAGAATTAAATTTATTTTGCAATATTGTATATTGTTTTTTTTTCCTCTGACTGATCTGCAGGGTCTTCCTTTGCAAAATGAAAAAGCATACCCCTGAAAAGCAAGTGCTGTTGCCAAATTCTTCACAATCAAAATCATATCCAGACACTCATAGATCTTTGAAGTCCTCCATAAACAGGCTTAAGGAAGGAAATCTTTATATAGTATTTCTCAAAACATTTGCTAAGTGTATCAACCAAGTTTTCTTTGGGCAAAACAATAAGTTAGACATACCTGGCTGATAGGGTTTTTTTGCGTCCTCCGAAATCTTTCTATGTAATTGGGATTCAAATGTGAACACTTTGAGGAATCTTCTCTGACAGCACAGGGGGCTTGTGGCATGGAGAGACAGCCTGTTGGAGGGGAATCTATCTGCTTAATTTGCAGATGTGCTCCTGAGAACTCGGTCTACTGTGGCTAACTGGCTGTGACTGTTTTTTTTTTCTTTCCTCTCTTGTCTTCAGATGGCACAACGAGAAACCCACCAGCCTCCAGAAGATTTAACTCTTTGCAGTAGTAGAACCAGACCAGAGTGACAGTAGATGTCTGTTAGTTAGATTCTAAATGTCTGCAGCACACGCTCCTTTATAGTTTAATTTTTTACACTGCCATATGTGTCAACCTAATGATCTTTTTTGGATTTTTTCAGCGCTATTATAATATAAAAATGTAATCTAAAGTAGTTTTTGAGTTCAAAGAAAAAATGATTTCAATAGCTAGTAAAAGAAAGCAACTCCTGCTGATTGGTGTACTACTGCTTTCCCCAGGAATGCTCTGCTGCAAGCAGGTAGTGACATGGAAACAGCAAAGGAAATGACAAATTCGTGCAACCCAGTGAGTGAGGGCTGACAAAAAGTCCAATTCAAAGTCCACTGAAGTCATTAGGAATGTCTTTTTTCTACTTCAGTGGCCTTCTGATCAGACCTTAAAAGACTAATAAAACTTTGCACCCTTCTGTGGCATTTTTCATCAGTTTCACAGTGCTTTTCTCCAAGAAAAAATAATTAGACTCTGGGAAGTCCTCTGGGAACATATCCTTTCAACAGCTAGCAGTGCTGGGGCACAGAGGATAAGCCACTTGCATAGCACAGAAAATAAACAGAGAAACCTGGAAAACAATTCACTCTTCATAGCTCCCTGCTTTTGTTTTCTTAGCCCTGCTTCACCCACTCCTGAGTTACAATATCTGCTGCACAGTGTTTTAGAAATAACTCATCTCCCATTTGAAACTGCTGTGAGAATAGAAATAGAAAGAACTTGAAATGGAATTTGATTAG